GGTGGGAATAAGTTTAGTTCTCATTTTATAATTACGGTAGAGGTATATAATTGTGCCGATTCTGTTGTATCTAACTAAAGTGAACTAAAAAATCTAATTTTAATTAGGTTTTGTTTTAACATTGTTCTATAATCATGCATATTCAAACTATAAACGCCTGTTACTTAGGTAAATATAATAAGTTTACTTTTATTATATTAGTTAACTAGCTGTGCCCGCGACTTCGTCTGCGTGGGAAGTATTTTGGTAGAATTCTTTTTTTCCTATGAATGCAGACGAATCGAATAAGATCAATGGGCCATAACCCACTACGCGGGCTTAATGCGTATCGGTGGGTGTTAACGTTGCTGATGCAGCCAGGACTAACACCTTAACGTGCATTATGCCAGTGTTAAGCACAGTGCTTAAGATAATAATGTTTTGGTCACCCATCCTGTAAACGGTCCTTACGAATGTTATTTTTCAATTTTTTTCTCGTTTCTCGCGCTCTGGTTGGTGCTTGTGTCTGAGCATTTTATTCGTACCTTTAAACGGTCCTTCTTTTGTTTCGATCTTTTTAAATTATTATTATTTGTCTAGTTGTATGCACAATCGGTTATTTATTGTTCTATTTTTCATGTAATGCTAGTTTGCCTGGAAGAAATTGCCAGCTATGCTATGTGATGAGTTTGTCGTTTGTACTTATTTATGTTAAATAAGTATTCATGTATGTCCTTGTTATGCAGTATTTACTTACTTATTTAACTGCAATTTAAACCGAATGCTCTAACCCACTACGCCATCGGACCCCTTATGCCTAAGCTATACTAATATTATAATGAGGAAAGATTTGGTTGTTTGTTTGTTTGCATCGAATTTGCTCCAATACTACTGGACCAATAGTTGCAGAGCGATTCTGACCTACGGGAAGCTACATCAGACGCAGATGTCATAGGCTTATAATTTTGCGGCAAAGTTGTGGGAAAATAGCTAGTTCATTATGCCTTGTGAAAACTTATCTGCAGTACGCCTGTGAAGTATGAAGTCAACACGGGTTGGTGATAATCGAATCTACTTTCTCGATCTCGATTATGCAAACTGCGAGCTCTTTAAGAGACCAAGCGCATTTCCCTATCAAAAGAAGTTTCATACTCATACCATACTGCATGTATGTAAATGCTTCAGATTCAACTTTATAGTGCATGAGCCTCGCGATGGGCAGTTAAATACGCTTCACGTTTTTCAGATGTCTCCCGAGACCGAGCGCATTCTGTCTGATCTCTTTCTTTGTCTATAAAAGTCGGTCAGTACATGTCTGACGGAAGATACGTGGAGTTTTATTTATTGATATAAAAAAATATATACATATTTTAATTTCGACTTTCCACACTCGAAGGAAATCGTCTACTAACATACTTCCGTGAGGTGCTTAACTGAGCTTCTGTTAGATTTGAATGGCCCTCATCATCATCATCATCATCATCATCAGCCCTTTTACGTCACCAACTGCAGGAGCTCAGGCCTTCCTTATGGATGGTTAAAGAGGATGGACCACGACCCTCTATGCTGGCCCAAAGTGGATTGGAGGATATTAACGACTGCAAATACAACCGGGACCAATCGCTTTACGTGCTTTCCGAAGCTTGGAGTTGCTTGAGATAATATTTTTTGGTCATCCATCCTGTGCCCGACCTTTGCGGAAGTTACTTAACAACTACAATCGCGGGCCATGGCGCTTATTCACTACGCCACCGAGCTAATCTGAACCGACCCACAGACCCGCGTAATATTATATGAGTGTTGTGACCTATGAATAAAGCATTGTTTCCAGCGAAGACTGAAAATACCAACTTTGAAGTACGTATCTATTGCAATTGTATGTTAAAAAAACAAAAACAAAAAGAGTATTAACATAAAAAAGTAGCAATAAGAGAAAATATATATATATATATAACTCGAGTTGTCTTTACGTCCTTAACTTCAGTTGACGTGAATCTAAGTTTTTTAACATCGTGGAAAAATCTTCTGACATTGTCTCTGTTAGGTGCCAGGTGGCAAGCAACAGGGGTAAGTAGGATTCTCCTCCGTGAACCCGACAGTGAGCTGCCCGGTGGGTACCCACCAAAACCCGTACTCTACACCTTCTCATGGGAAATGAAAACCGGCAAGCTATGTCCGAGTCACCAGGACACTCAAGTATTGGACCATTGGTCCCCTCGCAGATGGAAAATTGGAGAGACTCGGGTAAATCGAGTGCCTCTCCCAGACAGACGAAACTGTGCAATGCGGGAGCGGCTGCCAATCACCTCCGCTGGCCCCGACGACGACGTGAACCTAATCTGATAAAAATATGCGTTCACTGTAAACTACTCGAGGCTTAATTGCATCACGGAAGGCTCTTTCCGCTTGTTCTCCTACTCGCGTGATCGTATACCACATGTCCATTATAAGCTGAACCCTATTTAATACGATTGACCATATATAAATGAGGTCAACTTACTTCGGATTGTAAAAATTTTGGAATCTTATTTTTTTATTTGTCATCATACAAATTATCATTTTATAGACAATATTGATTCGTACCTCGATGGCTCTACGGATATGCGCCGCTGCGCACGATCGCTATTGCTAAGCAATTTTCGTAAGAATTGTTCACGGAATGGGTGACCAAAAATTATTAAACAAATGCCTGAGGCCCTGCAGTTTGGCTGTGAAAGAGTTAATGATAATGATCAATATATCAAAGACGAAAATTTAATAAAACAGTAAATATTTCATGGCAATTTTGGCGACCACGTCACCTTAAATTGACATAACTTTTGTATTTGTGAACCGATTGAAATAAATCTTACACTAAATGTTAACGGAAGAATGCCGCAATATAATAGTGCAAACTGCATTTAAATCGGTTCAGCCGTTTCTGAGATTATCGTGCACAAACGCACAGACAAACAGACAAACCGACAAACAGATAAACAGACAAAAAATTTAAAAATCATTGTTTTGTGTTCAATTACTCTTATAAATGTCCCTCATAACAGTTTTTTTCATATATCTTCAATGTACAGACATCGATCGGTTACGTTTTTATTATAGTATAGATTACAAACATCATTTTATTCTTTTAGCACAAGCCACAGAACAGTTATATTCAATATTGTCATAGAGTAAAATAGAGTATTACAATCAGTTATATACATTGAAAGTTCACATTTGTGAGAGTGTGAATATTGTTCAATAGAGGGATTCAATAATAACCAGCCGTAAGTATGTGGGTCTGCAGAAAACGATGATTTCTATTTTTTAATTTTCACAAAGAGTACAAGCAAAGGGAGTCGTCTAAAGCAGCCTTAAGTATATTCATCAACCCTTTGAGTTCGTTCCTGAGGGCGACATTCAATGCGTCCCCTTCTTACTGGTTGGCCTTGACACGATTCCTTTAGCCCTCCTGAGGGGCGTGGAACGACTTTTTGATTATCTAGGGTTAGGAATTCGGGCGGTTAGTTTTAAAAATATACTAAAAAGAGAGCATGGCAAACTCAATCTACAAGAGAGCCAACGCTTACATTTCCATACAAATAGGCAAACAAATACGCAACAAGAGTAAAGATGTATTCGCTTGATTTCATAAACAGAAAAAAATGCAGTTACAAAAAAATATTTTGATCATTTTAGATTATATCAAAGAATTAATGATGTGATGTATAAGTATATTTTTATGTGCTTAGATGAAATGGTCGTTTTTTTTTGTCGTAAAATCGATCCATTAACCTATTTAGGTACAGTGACCTTTGCGTTTATTTTCAATCGAGGCAATCGTTAAAACGTATAATTCGTTTTTTTTGGATTATATGTATAGTCTTTGAATAAAATTGGTTTAAAAACTGATAATTTCGTAAAATCTCTTAACTCGTATTTAAAAGAAGTAATAAACGTTAATATATTTAGATATTACAAACTATTGATTATGAGTAGAAGCTTTCATAGTATCATATTTTTGGCATACAACCAATAAATATTTGCTGCATTGCGGTTTTATTACCTATTTCAAACTGAGTATTATTGTTGAGGTTTGACATTTAACTTACCATTAAGTTTACCTGAAGTCAAATCTCGCATCAATAGTTATAGGGGCTCCAATTAGAATTTACGAAGGGCATTTGCGGCCATTTGGAGGCCCCTCAGGACCCGAGAACCGGGGCGTACCGCCCCGTCCACCATTGTCTCTATAATTACATAAAACAATCCATTTAATATTTCGTTTTATTTGTCTCGACAATTACTTTAGTGCAAAATAATATTCAGGGAATTGGAAGGTGTATATGGGAATTTTGTATTTAAGTAACGTCACCCTGTCGAGTTACGGCTAACCCTTTGATTTGTAAGACCTATAAAAGATTTCTAGTTCAAGGTAATATTATCTAACAATACAGTTTGTTTAAAAAGTCATAATAAAATTATTACTTTTTATCTATCTATCAATTTATTTCTTTGTTTCAGATGATCATCATGGTTACAGATGATGAAATTTAATTGGAAATAGCATTAGAAATAATTACTAAATTAATCGTCATGTTATTTGCTTAGAAAAAGTACACAATTAAATAACTCATATGCACAGAGACGCCTCTAACGTCTTCAGAGATTCCTTAAAATTACGTCAAAAATTATTACTAAGAACCACTACGTATTTCAAAGTAGCAGAATTTGTAAAAAAAGACGCAATCCGATACTTCACGTATGATTACGAGATACATCAAACATAGTATTAAATATTATGAACATATTCATAGGTAACAATTATCATTCAAAAAATCTGGTCAAGTTGAAAACTCGCTTTTAAAATAGACAATAAATTGTATTCAATTAAAACTAAATAGAGATTCGCGCTTTTAAAAATAAATATAATAGTGTAAAAAGTTTCGTAGCACCTTCGTTAGCAGCTTGAAAAGCACCATAGAGTATTATACAAAAATTATCTAGTTATTTTTAAAAGTAAATTTGCGCGGGAATAATAAATCATGGCGGCGAAACCAGAGCCAATTGGACCGCGAAATGGGCATGAGTTGGCGCCATTAAACACGCGAGCGGATGGCAGCGAGCGGCCTCATGGTGTCACCATCGTGCTGCAAGGGTCCAGGGGTTCGCTGCAGAGGGATTTGCCTGATGAGGATAGAGCAGCGTGGTCGGGAAAGCTGCAGTTCTTTCTTTCCATCATCGGTTATTCGGTCGGCCTTGGGAATATCTGGCGGTTTCCTTATTTGTGTCAGCAAAATGGTGGAGGTAAGTCTGTAACTTGTTTAATTAATAAATTAATAACATATATTATATTGAAATAAATTATATTGAAGACCTCCGTAGCAGAAAGTTTCAAGGTTTGAAGGCTGAGGAGTCCCGGGTTTGATTCCTAGTCGGGTCAGTATAGAAAATTAACTTTTCTGCATTGTCTCGGGTCTGGGTGTTGTTGTTATCAGATTTTCACAAGTGTTTTAGTTACTTATTTTATTTATCTAATAGTGCCATTACTGCTGCTTATACAACAGTAACTATATTAGTATAAGGAACTTCAATCTCAGGGCCATAGATGGTGGCTTAAAACACGGTGTTAGCTTCTCGGTCGACGCAATAATTTTATCTATTACTAGCTCTCGCCAGCGGCTTCGCCCGCGTGATCCCTAGAGAAATGTTTAGTAGGATAAAATTATATCTAAGTCCTATTATCTAAGTCAGCTAATATCCTATCTGTATACCAAATTTCATCAAAATCCGTTCAGTAGCTTCGGCGTGATTGACGGACAAACATCCAAACAAAGAAACTTTCACATTTGTAATAAGAGTTTCAATAGGATTATTTATATTTATTATTCGTATAAAACATTGGAATAGCATTCTCACTGCATATTTACTTTTATGGCTACGATACCAATACAACAGCAATTTTGTAATTATATACAAGATTAAACAAATCATTAAGAAGTGAAAATTTCAATGCACGAAAGGATGTTACTGATACAATAGGGTAGTTTCGGACGTGAAAAATAAGTCACGATATTGCACAAAAACTAAAATTTACATTGTAATAAACATAGAGATTCTTAATTTGAGTCTTAAAATCGCATTATTATCTTATTATATCAAATTAAAAGTCGTTATTTTTTGTCTGTGTCACGTTACTTGAAACTCGACCCACCATTGTGTGATGTCAATGTGGCGACGACAAAGATATCATAGTAGTCACAAAGATATGCTTAATAATTATAAATCAAATTGCTAGATGGCGTTGGTCTTAGTTTATTTATATTTTTTGCTATGAAATCAATAATTAGATGGCATTGTTATGAAATCTTTTAATTTTGAACTATATGCATCTGTTCTGTGTATATATCACAATGGCGTCATTAATATGACGGACAGCGTTTTCGCGGGTTTAAAAAAAGTTTGAATTATGATTTAATTTTAAGGCAAGAAAACGTTTAATTTTTGAGATGTTTGTTTTATGGCATTAAAATAAACAGTTACAACAGTTAAGTATTATTTGAAACAGAGTAGAATACCCTATTATTATAAGAGAGGTCAGTTGGATATAAATTAGAACTGCGATGACAACAGTTCCTCCTTATTAATAAATAACTAACTAGAACTTGGTTAGAGGGTAGCGTGTATTTTTATAATAAAATTTAAAGTTGGAACCCTAATTTTCACGCTTACTCTTGAACACAATCACGATCGATTGACATTGCAATTGTAACGTAACGCTTAATTAGGCTCACTAGCGCCAATTGTCTCAATATTGCGTGGTTATTGAATGAACTAAAATTGATTAAATATCAGTAGTTATTAATAGTTAGATGACTCACTTATTGGACTACTGCTACCACCACAAGTAATTTTTACTATTAATAACTAACTTTATTTTAACTATTAATAACTACTGTAAATCTACATTAGTTATTAATAGTTAGACAACTCGCTTATTGGACAATGCTTTAAGTTTATAAAACATAAATACGTAAGCTGGGGTTTTTGGTATCGATAATGTTTAGTAGATAATAGAGATTTTTGGGCGTAATTAGGGGTTTGTCTATATATTTAGTCTATATACTTATGCTAATAATAGGGATTAAAGTATGAAATTGCCAATTTGTACTGAAAATCATAATTGCTTATTTTTTCTTTTTTAACAAATTTATTTAATCTAAATAGTTACCATTATTATCTGCACATTGCTGGAAAGTCATTTATACCTTTGCAATAGAACTCTGAGGATCGAGTCTGCACAAACTGTGTGAAAGAATTTTTTACTGCCTACTGGGAAGAAAACTTCTTGTCACGTAGATAATTGTCCAAATCACGAAAAAATGGTAGTCCGTTGGAGTAAGGTCTGGCGAATACGGGGGATAACGAATGATTTCTAACTGCAATTCCTAAGGGGTCAAAATGGTTTCTTGTGCTGTACGTATATGAGGTCTCGCGTTGTCATGGAGCAATAATGGTGAAGATCGATTCATGCCAACATTGTTTGTAGTTCGGCACAATAGACATCTGCCGTTATTGCTTGACCAGATAAGTGAAAATATAGTGAATAACACCATGCTGACCACCAAACAGTTACCCTTATCTTTTTTTTAGTAAGTATCGTTTTAGGACACTGTTGTGGTTATTGACCTGGGTCAGCTATTGCATTTTTCTTTTATGGTTATCATAAAGAATCTACTTTTCATCACATGTCACAATTCGATCCAATATTCCTTCATTTCCGTGCCAATTCAACAAGGCAACACAAGTTTTAACACGCGTTTCTTTCCGCAGATCAGTCAAATCATGAGGCACTCATTTTTTGTATATTTTTATTTGATTCACTTTACGCAAATGAGTCAATATTATGAGTAAGGTAACGTTAACCCATACCGCTAATTCCTGGGTAGTTTGATTAGGATCGATTTTCACCATCTCTTTTAATTTATCGTTATTCACCTGTGTGGGCGGTCTTCCTCGTGGCTCGTTCTTCAAGTCTAAGTTTCCATCACGAAAGCATTTAAACCAAAATCGCACAGTGCGTTTATTAGCAGACCCCTCTCCAAACGCAAGATTGATATTGCGGGCTGTTTCTGCTGTGTTACTTCCGCGTCGGAACTCGTATTCAAAAATCGCTCGAATTTTCGCAATATCCATCTTTCTTGTCTATGTTGAATAACAAAAACAGTTGAAAGTCGATATACAAATGTTTCACATTTTTAAAAGAAGCACATCAAAGTTACCATTTGAAAAAAGTTTCATTCGAAAACCTCAAATCATGAAGACTCTATTGCAATTCAAGGAACCTATTACAATAAAACGGCAATGTCATTCTTTAACCCCTAATATTATTGTAAAAAAGTGCTCAGTCAATTTTTAGATATCGCTTAGCCGTAGCGCCCACACTACATAGTTCCGTAGCAGTAGATGGAAAAATCAATACCGGCTTACCCAAACAATACCTAAGCGTTTAAAAATAGAATCTGCAAGATTACGCAATTTGAGCTAAAAACTACAACTTTCAAAGCACTTAGTTCGAAAATAAATAAGTCACCAATCCCATGACCGGCATTTGTGGGTTGCTTAACTTCCACATCGCAGATCAAATGTGCTAACCACTGCACATTCAAGCTCCACACTATACAGTAAATTGCATGTACGCGAAGTCGGGACGTTATGCTAGTAAACACAACTTGTACAGCTTCAATACTAATTCGATCAATTTATCATTGAATGATGACGTTAAAATAAAACAGTTAATGATGGCTTACAAAACAGTTATAATAAATTTTAAAATAAATTTATCTAGCAGAGAATTAAGTGTATATATTTTTTTATAGTCTTAATACAACATGAAAATGGAGTTACAATATGGATGCAAATATAATCCCAGAATATTTATACACGTGATAGCCTGGTGATGGTCATGAAATGTATATTAATATTGAAATTTAAATATATTATTTATTGGAGTATCAGGAATCATTTAAATATAAATATATATACAGGTATATATGTTGTTCTAAACGTTCATGGTCATTGACATCAAAATCATAATCTGATATTGAATGATCATTCTGATATACAGGTATAGTTCTCCTTACCCGATTTGTTTTGGTCTTTCCATAGAGATAAATACAGTCTTGCTATTCTGTTAAAACATCCTTAAGCTCTTCGTCGAGCTCAGCGCTGTTATAGCCTAGGGTTTCGATGAAATAAAACCGTTACTTCCTTTTCGTAGTAGGTTTTATTTGATTGAATCACTACGTAGTGACAGTGCTGCGCTGGTTGTCGAGCTATAGGCTGTTTTTTCTTTGAAATATACGAGGGTCAAACTGAAAGTTCTTAGAACTGGCCACTTATAAACAATATAATAAAAAAATAATTCTAAAATTTGAAAATATAACTCTTTGCCAATATTACTGAGTATATATTTCATTCATTTGTCATTTGTTTTACGATTTGGCGGCAAATTGAAAATTGTCTGTGTCACGTCATCATGAATTTAACACGAGAAAATTTTCGTGCAATGATTTTTTATGACTTTCGATGTCATTTAAGTCAACAAGAAAGTTATGATAGACTACGATTGGCCTTTCACGATGAAGCCCCATCTCGTGCGACTGTTTACAACTGGTTTAATGAGTTTAAACGTGGTCGCACTAATCTCACTGATGATTTACGTGAGGGACGGCCTTCTACGGCGACGACTGAAGATAACATCTGTGTTGTGCGGCGTATGATAGAGACTGACAAAAGAGTGACCTATCAACAGATTCGGACAAGCTTAGGCATCGGTATGAGTCAAGTGCACAAAATCCTCCACGAACATTTAGCGGTCAGGAAGCTTTGCGCCCGGTGGATACCTCATAATTTGACTGAGGCTCAAAAACTCCATCGTGTGGATTGGTGTCGTAAAATGATTGAAAGATTTAACGGAGGTGACTCAAATGCTGTGTTCGACATACTAACAGGTGACGAAAGCTGGATTTACTGTTATGATCCTAAAACCAAAAGACAATCTGCTCAGTGGGTGTTTCCTTTCGAGGAGTTGCCAACTAAAGTGAAGAGAGATCGAAGTGCGGGAAAAAAAATGGTGGCCTCGTTCTTTGGAAGGATAGGTCATTTTGCAACAATTGTGTTAGAGGATCAAAAAACAGTTTCTGCAGAATGGTACACTACCAATTGTTTGCCACTTGTCTTGGAAAAAGTTCGAGAGAAACGACCTCGCAGTAGGATCCTCCTTCACCACGACAACGCCTCGTCGCACACCGCCAAGCGAACGATCGACTATTTGGCGACATCAAACGTTGAATTACTGGGTCACCCGCCGTATAGCCCCGACCTCGCGCCTTGTGATTTTTATTTATTTCCAAAAATTAAAGAAAAACTTAAAGGAAAGCGGTTTATGAATGCTGAAGAAGCGGTGGCTGCGTATCGCGATGCCATTGAAGAGACCCCTAAGGACGAGTGGGCAAAGTGCTTTTCCCAGTGGTTCCATCGCATGCAGCGGTGTATTGACGTGAATGGACAATATTTTGAAAAGATATAATAAAACTAATAACTGGCTAATGTAATCAGTTTTTGATTTTCTAAGAACTTTCAGTTTGACCCTCGTACTGCTGCACTATAACAGTAGTTAGTTTGATTATACGTACCTATACTTAAGTTAATTTACATAATATATAAATTTGTTTAGTTGAAGGCCCTTATTTGATAAAGCTGATTCTAATGTATGTTATATATTGCCCGCAGGTGCCTTCCTCATACCATTTATGATAATGTTAATCCTGGAGGGTATACCACTATTCCTCATCGAGATGGCAATCGGCCAGAAGATGCGCCTGGGATCCCTCGGTGTGTGGAATACCATCCATCCGTGGTTAGGTGGCATCGGCATCTCCAGCTGTATGGTGACACTGTTTGTGGCATTATACTACAATGTTATCATTACTTGGGTGTTCTTTTACCTCTTCAACAGCATCAGGGTAAGTTGCTGTTATAGTTAGTAAGGGTGTTCATTCCAATATTAATTTACGCTGCGCAAGATTTGTTTATCCCAGTTTTTTGTTTGGAACCGGTGCTATAAGTCTTTTTCTTCCGTACTTGTCGATCAGGCATCGTATCCTGAACCTAATTTCATTTTCACGCAGTCTATCTTTTCGGCCATAATTAAAATATATTAAAGAATATTTACTTTTCATCAACTTTGTGTTATCAAAATAGTATTTTATTTAATTCAAATCAAATTAGCCACATTAGGAAATTGCTTCTAGTTATAATATTGGGGTGGTATACGTATGAGTACACCGCTTCTATTGGAAAAAGCTCAACAGACTATTCTAAAGGTAGATTTGGGGTAAACACGTAGACTCGGTACTGACAGTCAGACAGCTATTTTTCCCGTCACTAGGAGGGGAAGGGGAAGAGAACCCAGGCTCCTGCAAGGAGAGCTCCGTACCCAACTCCACTGGGATACTATTCAGAGTCAGTCAGTCAGTCAGTTAAATTGAAATAATATACAAAATATGTATTGTTACAATTGATTGTTTTTTATGCTATTTTAAAAGAAGGAAGGTAAAGAATGACATAAATTTTAGTATTGCAGAGCATTGATAAATAAGATCTGTCTCGGACAATCAGTATTGTAATAAAGTTGATTTTATAACTTTGAAGTAATTTTTCAATGACTTACACTGAAACTTTACAGAAGGTTTATTGTTTTACTCTTATTAGCTAACAGCCGACCAGCTGCCCTGGTCTCACTGCCCTCAAGATAACAGCACAGCAGAAGAAGAGTGCACTAAAGCCACAGCGACTGTCTACTTCTGGTACCGTGAGGCTCTAGACGCCGCCCCCAGCATTGAAGAGCCAGGCATCCCACGTTGGTGGATAGTGTTATATCTACTGCTGGCTTGGATCATAGTCTTCTTTATTGTGATGAAGGGCATCCAGAGTAGTGGGAAGGTATGATTATCTTATATCCTAATTTTAATTATAAAAATATAACTGTTGCTCACGGCACTTCAGTATCACTTTTGACTTGGGACATCTGCAATATAGGTACTTCTAAAGATTCAGTTAGCGCTTTTGTAAGTTACACAAGGGGCTAATTTGGTAAGCGTTTGTTTTAATCAAGTCAAATAAAAAATATCTTAATTTTATTGATAGTCTTAAACCTCTTTTGTATTATTATCATGATTTCAAAAAACAAAGACAGAATAATGAGCCATATTCTACATATAGGCACAGTGCAGACGCGGCCGGAACTAATGGCTCAGTCTTGAATTTTTGATCATATATTAAATTACCGGCCTTTGTGAAATCTATCCTTCTCTACCACCTATTCAGAACTTCATTTAGCTATGGATACCAATATAAAATAGTATCTCACATTATTAAAACACAAACACGAAATCCTTTACAATAAAATGAAGCACAAAATGTTGATGTTATGTGATGATCCAAGATACTTAAGTAGTGATAAACTTATGATGATGATTTGGATATGCAGAATAATTGCGGAATTCTTTCCAGGTGGTGTATTTCACATCTTTATTTCCGTACGCCGTCCTGACAATATTCTTCATCAGGGGTATAACTTTACCTGGATCTGCTGATGGGATCATTCATATGTATAAACCAAAGGTTAGTTAGTTAACCAAAGGTATTTTATAGAATCAGGTATTATTATGTAGAGGTCCATTACAATAAGCGTAAAACTACGATATCTAGCAACTTCCATGCTAAATTAATACTCACAAGATATCTGCGTAATTTACATTTCTATATGCGAAATTTGCCATCCTATCTATCTTATTGTACATTATGCAATGAGATAGACAGTTATATCTCTTACTTTCATTCTTAACCGGCCTATTTCGGAAATTGAGTAAATGTAAAGCTTTATATATAGTCCTATAAGGGATAAAAAGAGTCTTAAGATATCAATACTGCTGCTATTGCTATTCTATAATAAAGTGCTGTATTCGACATCGAGTTCTGGGCCAGTTTTCTATTACACACTTGAGAATTCACTATACTTAAAATAGATGTAATTAGAGCGTCGAAATCGAGAGTTCAGTAATGGTGGATACGTTTTGACTAGTAATCTATTTTATGAACGTCTTGCGAAAGTAGTTTAAGTTCGGCATCGCAGACAGAAACCATTAAAAACTATTATTGAGCTCCTTATTTAAATTGTATTATAATTCTAATTACAATCTTGAATATTACTGTTTGTTCCAGCTGGAAAAGCTGCTCCAACCGACCGTGTGGCTAGATGCTGCCACCCAAGTATTCTATTCGTTCGGGCTCGCGTTTGGGTCTTTGATCGCATTCGGTTCTTACAATCCTCCAAACAACAACTGCGTGAGGGACGTGTTACTTGTGTCTGTGTGTAACGCCCTCACTGCAATATACGCCTCTGTTGTCATATTCAGTATACTGGGATTTAAAGCTTTCACTATGACGGAAAACTGCATTGCAAAGTGAGTATTACACAAAGATATATACTTGATTTTGTGGTAATACATCAGAATTATGTTGCACGTTCGTGCAGTGGTGTATGCAATGGCGGTTTTGGAGATACTATCGAGTAGGAACATTATCAGCAGAGTGATTCCGTAAAAATCCGAACTCGAATTCACTCAGGTGTTCGAAGTCACTTCGTAAGCGAATCCGCAAAACTTATATTATTGTAGAAATTTTATCGATTCCACTTTTTGTATAAAAATACAAAACAATATCGGTTGATTCATAGTGTTTCAGATATTCTATCCCTATAATAAAAGTGCTGATGGTTTTGTCCAAATATCGAATAATATAAAAGTGTATAGCAACTACCTAGTTCCTCTTCTGATAGTCCTCTTCTTATACCTCACACCTAAAGATGCCTCAAATGACTCCCTAATATCTCACACGATTCCTTTTGTATACATTCATCACACTTACATACTTCATTACCAATCAATCACGCATCACTATTTTCTAACTACCTAAGGATCTAATTTAAGTACGGATAAATGTTGGCAAAAGTGATGCAATTTCTCTGTATTTTGTTCTTTATTATTATATCCCTATGTCATTTCGAAATTCAATTTCGCGGTTAAGCGGATGTCGTTTTCGAAGTGAGTTCGGACGCTGAGTGAATTCAAAATTCAGGTTTTACGGAATCCCTCTGCATATGTAAGAAAATAATTTTCATCGTAGCTATCATCCCATTAGAAAACACTTTCTATTTTGAAGAATTCAATTTCTGTGGTTTATAACTGGAACTTTTTTTAAGCTATTTAATATTACATATGAAGAGCTAGCCAGTTCATTATATTATTCAATATTTTTTATCTCTTGCTATTTTTGCAGATTTGCTTTTTAACAGTAGGTATATTTAATAATTATACTCTATTGTCACACCATTTTTAACAGTTAAAGTTTTTAACATAGAATACTGGTGTATTTTCAAATTCCCGAATCAGTCCTAAGTCATTCCTAAGATCAATGTGCACGTGAAATATTTCTCAAAGTCGTGTTCTGGCATCTCTAGAATCTATAAATTTGAGTGACTCGTTGAGCCCCAAAGTTTCGCACTGTATGTCCAAAAGCATTAACTTAATAAATATTAGTCATCCAATCTAAGGCCGGTCTTTGCTAAAGTTGTTTCAACTTCCGATATCCATTATACCAGCGCAACTATCGGCACCATAGTAAGCACTTTCACACTTCTCTATTTGATTTTAACGATATATTATCCTTACTAATATCATAAATGTTAATGTAGCACTGTTTGTTGGTCTTTATGTTACGCTTTGGAGCTAGCATTGGGTAACGAAAAAGTTATTTTTCATCCTTCTTCGAAAAAAAAGGTTTAACATTTGGGAACAATAGGGGATAAAGTTTATCTTAAAAATACTAGAATAAATATTGCCTCAGGTCGGACCCGAGTCGAGTTTTATCAAATATTTTAAAGATAAATATCAAGATAGCATTGCAAATACAACATTTACAATAATAACAACAGGCGATGAAAATTTATATGAGAGTTCGCGATTGAAATTAGCAATACTATGCGGACGAAGTCGCGGGCAAAAGTAGGAAAAATAACATTTTAACTTTTATATGTAAATATTATTTAAACTTTAGGGGTAAGAACAACACTATATGAATCACACAGCTTGAGTGCATATCATAAAACCAGTTTATTAGACATAAATTGGTTTATGATGCCTCTATGATACGTTACTCGCCCATTGGTTTTCCCAAGTGGTAACATTTATATTGGTTCCGACAGAATAACTCTCCTAAATTATATGACACTTACTTATGTATAGTGTATAGGCTTATTGGGTTGTTACTGTTGTTATCTAAGGATTGTGAGTTATTATTGTAAGATTCTCGTACTTGCTATCAATATTATATTTCTTAATAATATTGTATTACTAGCTTTCGCAAGTGGCTTCTCCCGCGTGGTTCCTAAGGAAATGTTAAGTAGGATAAAAATCCTACTATCTAAGTCAGCTAATACAGATGTATACTAAATTTCATCAAAATCCGTTCAGTAGTTTCGGCGTGATTGACAGACAAACATCCAAACAAATAAACTTTCACATTTATAATATTAATTAATAGGGTAGGATTATGGACTGTCTTGAAAAAGTTATGTATATAATTATAGCTATTCATAATTATAAGTCAGACAAGGCGTATTCTTATATAAGATGAGTTTTGTCAGTTATAATTCCTCTACCTTTATGTAAAAAATAAAAATAATTTTTAGAATCTAAAGAAAACTTTGATAAAATATATATTATTTTTTATAAATTTTTGGGAAGATTTATTTTGTAGTTACTAATAATAATTCTAAGGTTTTTTGTAACTATTATCATAAATGAGTGTTTTTGTTTTCTCACATACTGACTCCGTCCTCCCCTTGAAAGAAAAATTAAGAAATGGTCTAACCACGTTCCCCTTTAAACGGTATTACGAAATATATGGATAGCACCTAATTAAATGTATTTAATGTAACTCTATAGGCAGACGAAGTTACTGGCGTTACATCACATCGATGGCTTTATGGCCAACTCCTCAAGCGACTTCTACTACGAGAACTTCCCGAAAATTAACGCTTCCGTCCTGACGCGCCTCAACATCACCGAATGTACAATTGGAAAACAACTGGAAGAGGTATTATATCATCTAGATATATTAATAACAATCAAATTTCTTTTTCAATTATTTTCTTTTTATTCGTTGTTCAGTCAATTAATACAGAGATACTTCATTAACTTAAACTGACATTTACTACTAGTACTAGTTCGCAATTTACAGGAATCCATTAACTGAGAGAAAGCAGAGACGAAATCCATATCGTTTTACCACTTTGTACTGAGCTGTTTTATTCTAATCAATTTGACGATATCAGTTTAGCTATATATTCATCCTATTAATGTTCCTATTTTTTTTGTAGTATGTTAAGTACTGACTATAAATTCAAAGCCATTTACGATCTCATCTTTTCACCCGCACATTAGCAAGCCAAAATATGTTTGATTAATTTTTGTTTATTAAAAATTTTGTTCAGTATTTGTTCTGTCCAAAAAATCATTATGAACTATATTTGTTTATATGTTTAGCCTAAAAAACCTTCATCGAATTGGTAAGATTAATTTGTACATACTTAATTAATACTTTGATTCCAGGCAGCAGAAGGCACTGGATTAGCATTCATAGTATTCACGCAAGCTATACTGAAACTGACACCGGCCCCGTTCTGGTCCGTGACTTTCTTCCTGATGCTGCTGTCTCTGGGGCTCGGTAGTCAGATTGGCATTATGGAGGGAATGCTTTGCACCATCTTTGACATTGATTTCTTTAAAAGGCTCAGCAAACCCGTCATCACTGGTGAGTACCAGATTATCGAAAAATGAAGATTTTTTCCAACAATTATTTCAAATATTATACGTCCATAAGATCTTGCGTATCGAAGTCAAATTAAGTTAAAAAGCTTTAGAAATTAAAGTGTTACTGCAGCAATTTCAAAATTATTAAAAAAAATTACAGATTTTAAACGCGCTTATGGGCAGTTGCACAAACGTTAATTTGGGTTTAATGACGCCGTTAAGCTCTAATGAATGTCAAAGTTGTGTGGGTAATATCGCTTTAAACTAATTACATTTTTAATAGACGTTTGTGCAACTGGTTGTTAGTCTACAATATGACCAAATATACATTATCTCGAGCTCCTCCGTGCTTCAGAAGGCACTTTAAGCCAATTCTCCCGATTGCATCTGCAGTCGTTAAACCTACCAATCCGCACTGGGGCCGCGTGGTGGGTCATGACCCATTCTCCCTATTCGATTCCATACACAGGGAAGGCATTATTGCCGAGAAGACTATTAAGTATTATGATTAAACTTGCCTGATTATTGTTCAGGCGTGGTGTGCGCGTTCTGTTTCCTGGTGGGTTTGATATTCACAACTGGCGCGGGCGAGTACTGGCTGAAGATGTTCGACTCGTTCGCTGGCACCGTCGGACTGGTTGTGGTCGCGTTGATGGAAATGATCGCCGTCATATACATATACGGACACGAGAGGTAACATTTACTATAGTGGCATTCCACGCGAAGCGGACAGCTAAAAAAAGTTGATGTTTCCGATTTCAGAAATATTTGAGTATGTTTTACCTACACATGTCCTTGATACGTATACCAAATATTTTTGTAATATAGTGCCTAGTTAGAGAGTTGTGGGACTTTGAAATTTTGACCAACGAGTGGGCATGCAGTACTTCAAAGCCGATTACCAAGTCATAAGATTATAGATATAAATAATTAAACTTATGTATTTATTACTTCATCTAATAAGGCTTTTAACTGAATACGAAAAAAAAATTTTATTTCATTGAAAAAAATGCGATTTAATTTTTTAATCTTCATTTTCACGAAGTTAGACTGTTTCGATTTTTTTTATTTTTATTCTAAAAATAGATAATATTGTAAGGAGCATTCGTGCTAAGTTTTATAATGGGCGTGAAAGTGGTTTAAGAGCTAGACTAGAAACACTGTCGAAGCGTGGCGTCTCTGACTCCTGCCCTGCGCCGCGCTTGACGCTTGCCACCTGCGTGAGCTTGGAGATTACAGTTTTTCTTAAAGATAGTTTGATATATTATGATATTTAAATAAAAATGATTTTTTTTTTAAATTAATTACATGGTTATTTCCAAGTTTTTACAATTTCAAATGCTTCGCTATGACTCGTGCGTTTTACCATAATACTTTCAATAATAGGAATGAAGGCATGATATTTTTTTGAGCCTGGTTTTGCAGTTCTCGACTAAAATCTTTTTTAAGAACAATGTATTTTGTTGAATATCCTTTTTTCGAGCATAGAAAACATGCGTTTGGGGCAATGATTTTCTCGCCCATTGGTACAAGTGCTCGGGTGTGGTAATAGCATTGTTTGACGTCGACTCTACAGTTGGCGTCAAACAATGCTAGTCTACACTAGCTCGAGTCGCCAGACGTCTTTAGTTGCTTCCAAGTCCATCACATGGCCCTTTGCCATAAGAAGTGGTATGAAAATGAAATTCTGCCCCTGTACCAAAATCTTGTTTAAAATAAAATAGATTAATGATATTAAACCTGTTTTTGAATTACTGAGGTGCACCATCAGTAATATAAATATGTTTCTTAGTTGATATGCTCTTTTCTTGAAGATATTGATGCAACAATTTTGAAACGTATAATACGTTGCAATGTCATGTTTTAGATCATCAGCTATCATTACAATGCTTCCGTGTTTCAAATTTTTGTGTTTAAAAAGGGGTTATTAAACAAAATATATTGTATTTAAAAAGCAGATTTTAGTCGAGAGCTGCAAAACCAGGCTCAAAAAAATATCATGCCTTCATTCCTATTATTGAAAGTATTATGGTAAAACGCACGAGTCATAGCGAAGCATTTGAAATTGTAAAAATTTGGAAATAACCATGTAATTAATTTAAAATAAAATCGTTTTAATTTATATATCAAACTATCTTTAAGAAAAACTGTAATCTCCAAGCTCACGCAGGTAGCAACCGTCAAGCGCGGCGCAGGGCAGGAGTCAGAGACGACACGCTTCGACAGTGTTTCTAGTCTAGCTCTTAAACCACTTTCACGCCCATTATAAAACTTAGCACGAATGCTCCTTACAATATTATCTATTTTTAGAATAAAAATAAAAAAAATCGAAACGGTCTAACTTCGTGAAAATGAAGATTAAAAAATTAAATCGCATTTTTTTCAATGAAATAAAACTTTTTTTTCGTATCGAAAAATTCAGTTAAAAGCCTTATTAAATGAAGTAATAAATACATAAGTTTAATTATTTATATCTATAATCTTATGACTTGGTAATCGGCTTTGAAGTACTGCATGCCCACTCGTTGGTCAAAATTTCAAAGTCCCTTAACTCTCTAACTAGGCACTATATTACAAAAATATTTGGTATACGTATCAAGGACATGTATAGGTAAAACATACTCAAATATTTCTGAAATCGGAAACATCAACTTTTTTTAGCTGTCCGCTTCGCGTGGAATGCCCCTATAGCTCGGTCGCCGAACAGAAAGAATTCCGTATGTTGACGCAGCTCTGGAACCACGATTTTTTCAACCGTGGCAGAAACTAGATAGTGTGCCCTTGTCACATCCCCCCCACTCGTGCTCCGTGATGATTGTAAACAATATTTATTTTCTTTTTTAAACAGGATCACTTGTGTAAGAGGGGTGCAAAAATTATGATGATTTTTGCACCCCCTAGTTCTGGCGTCCCGGGCAATTGCCAGCAAAATTAGTATCTATTTTAATAACTCCATTTATTTAATCGAAAAGAAGAAAAAAAAAATATCAGTATGTAAATCATGTAGAATAATACATTTTTTTACAATTTTTCAATTGAAGTTGTTTAATAATAAAAAAAGGCTGTTAATATTTTTACGTGTTGCTATTTATTAGTTAACTGTAAATGTAGTAAGCTATTATTAATATATTAATTTAAACATAAAACTTATTTAAAATTTAATTATAGTTAAATTTAATTGTCAGGTCAAATGATTACCGAACACATATTACGATTAAAACGATTTTATTGTTTCAATTCCTATTAAAAAAAAAAAGATTTGACACATATTTATCAAAAGTGTTTTTGATTTAGGGCAATTTTCGTTTCTTTACTTTTGTATGACGTATTTTAAAATACTAGATTTTTTAATTTTTATGTAAGACTACAAACTAACTTTTTCTTGTTTTTATATAGCACTACTAGCTAATCATGTTACTTCGTAGTAAAATAAAATTACGGGATAGAATCAATAAACATATAAAGTCCTTTTTTAAGTGGTCCCGCCCCTGCGACGGAATTGAATCAAGGAAGCAAAATAATTCTATCTAATTGTCGAAACAAATTAATAAACCCTCTTCAAGTTCATTGGCAGATTGTGAAGTCGCTATTAATTTACTTTCACTTCATCCTTTCTATTCTTTTAATTAACAGTTCAAATTATTTCCATGATTGGATCAGTATTTCTGAAGATTACGCCATTCAAACAAACCAATTTCGAAACTTTACCTCTTTTTAATATTAATTTTAATATTAAAGTCTAAAAGATCGTGACAAAAATTTACAAAAACTTCCTAAAGGTCAATAATTTCAAAAGGGTCAGGCGCTGGAACATCTAGTTTGATTTCGTGGACTACTTTTTTAAATACATCCTCATTTATATTTGTTTCTCTGTCTAATATTTTAATTAAAGAGAGAACTATTTCAGGTTCACAAACGACATATACGAGATGACCGGTCACCGGCCTGGTTGGTACTGGCAGGTGACGTGGCGTTACGTGGGCCCGCTGATTGTGACCTGTATCTTGGTCTCCAGCGTCGTGTCCATGCTCATCTCACCGCCAGAGTACAGCGCCTGGGACGCTGCCGAGGTGAGTGCTGTCAACAGCTGTCATATTTTCCACACTCGATTTTAAATCTTCAGACGTTAAGGGTAGAGGTCGAAATTCGTTGCAGAAATTTGGCGTAGTTTGGTGGTGAACTATCTCGTTAATGCAAATTTACTTTAACAGGTGAAGCTAAAGACTCTGTATACAGAATGCATTTTAGTTGAGAATTTTGTGGTGTAACACATTCTGTTCCTGAGGCTGACAATGCTATGACATCACAAGCGAGTATATTTCTATGTAATAAATGTAATAAAATAACAATTTTAATTATTGAAATATTTTAATTTTTGCAGCAAATGCTGTTTATTCGAAAACATAAACATTTATTGACAATATAAAGAACTAGTCAGAGTTAATAAAACCTGGTTTTATTAAACCTTTTGTTAATAAAATCGGGTCGTTACCTACTTCTGGAACACATAATCCTTCTCGTGTATCTTCCAGAAGTTATCCCAGAAGTCCATGCGTTTTTTGTACACATGGTTTCCCATTTTCATCTCCTTGTCTATATTCAAATAAGCCCTGTTATTTGGCAACGCTTGCTCCCACTTAACTGGCAACAAATCTGTTTTGCACGTCGTTGGTTTACTGTAAAAACATTAATATATTAGAATAGAAAGCATTTAACTCATGAAGAATCACTTATAAGATATTTAAATTTATTATTTTAAAACGTATATGTACTTTTTGTCAGTTCGATTCAGTTTAATTCTTGGTCGAATCTTAAAGAAATAAACTTTCTTTTATCGTGTCAGGTCTAACTGCAAAGCAAATGGTATCTGATTACCATAACACAAGAAATTTAGCTCCTTAACTTGTAATCAGTTTAATTAGTATATATTTTTTTCTACCTAGACAGTTGTTATGTTGTCACGAGATTATCTTATTTAATATTAATTACAAACTTACCCATGTTTAACGAAATTCGCCCACATGGCAGTCATCCTGTCTCTCATTTTCAAATTTTCATCACCACTCAGCACGCCAGCCTCACTCCATTCAAATAAATACTGCAATTCTTCAGTATGGTAAGCACCAACACCAGTCACATTTTTATAAGGACTGTTACCAATGTACGAAAACAAATATTTATAAACAACAGTGTTTTGATTTAGGAATCTTGTGACAGCTTTCTCTTCCGGGTGATTTATAAAGAAATCACTCATAAAGTCTATCAATTCCAACATCACGTCTTTCGAAATATTCCTGTTACCCAAATAAAATCTCTTCACCCTATTTGCTTCTCTTTTCAACTCTTCTTCACTAAGTTTATAATTATCACGAATTTTCTTTTCAATGAAATCTTGGTTTTCATCATAGAATTCATCTGGTTGAATCACGAAATCGTTAAAAGTTTCTTTGCTGTTATAACCAATCATGATAGGTGTGCCGCTAACTTTTTTCAAATTGAAAAATTGCGAAGAATTCGTGGTGATAAAATTCTCTACACGACCATTACGAAATTTCTTCTCCTTACATACTCTTAGAAGTTTACCGGTTGCATTAAAAGCTATCATTAATTCAATAGGATCTTGTTTAGCTAGTAAATCTAATGCACCGTCTTTTGTCACGCTTGGATTGAATACTTTAGCAAGATTAAAAGCCGCTTCGCTATCTGGTTGCAAATACATAGCTTCTTCGTCAGCAGCACCACTTTGTATGATAGCTTTATTAAATAGCTTCTCATTTTCAGAGTACAAATGCAATTCTACCGCACCACCTCCATAACTTTCCCCAGATATAGTTATATCATTTGGATTACCACCAAATGCGGCAATATTATTTTTTATCCATCTGAGAGCTGTCACTTGATCTCTAAGCCCTTGGTTGCCAGGTATATCTTCAGTTTCTAAACAAAAGAACCCATATGGTCCCATTCTATAGTTGGCTGTTACAACAATGATCTCGTGTTTGACCAAATATTTGCCATCGTATTCTCCAGCGCTACCGAACAAGAATCCTCCGCCATGGAACCAGACCAGTACGGGTAGATTTCTTTTGGAGGTTTTTGGTACGTAAATATTCAGTCGAAGGCATTGTAATATGCCCTCTGCTGTAAACACTGCTTGGGGGCACTTTATTGATGAATCTGAAGCTGCGAATGGTGTTGTGAAATCTGGATACGGCAAAGATACCTGAAATAAAAGAATAATACTGTCAAAATAATAAATATTTAATAAGAAAAAGACTCCAACAACCTGACAAAATCGAGAAATGAAAGTTATCTAGAAAGAGGGTAGGGTTATTATTATACCACAAAGTTTTTAGATAAGTTCAATCAGGATAAAACATCTTTGTCCCGACCAAGAACCGAAAACGGGTCCGATATGTGGTAGCCAAATTTGTCAAAGCCAAAGTTGTCGTAATTTTTTTTAGGTTATCGTTACGCATACGTTAAGCTAAGGCGCGAAAATAAATTTGCAGTCTGTAAAATGCGTTAGGAAGACCCACAGAACATAGAGAGAGAATAGAAGTAGTAAGTGGGCGGGGCACGCGTCGCTGGCATATGCGCTTTTACTCATATGACGCCCTTTCCTCGGTTTTATGTTTGCCAGTCGTTCGTCAAACGTCGAGTGGTGATTTTACAGATTTTTTCTATAAAAAATGCCGTTTTGTGCTATTATCACTTGCAAAAAGCAAAGCAAAGTATTCAATCTAACTAATGCAAACATTTCCTTTCACTGGTAAGTACAATTTTAGTGCTAAAATATAAAAAACGTAATAATTTGACACAATGTTAAATAAAATATACATTGATTGCTCAAACCAACATCAATGTTTCTGACCCCATTACTAAACAGCAATGTAAATCATTTTGTGCACTTTTGCAAAAAATAGTGCTGTGCCTCCATTTGTCTGAAATGTACCGATAGGCTGCTGCTGCTCGGAATCGTATTGTTAATTATATGGATCGTAATCGATAACTAAAACATATTTATTTAGAGCTTTTCTTTCATTATTTCATAACAACGTTATCGATAAATATATGCCATAATTATATAAAACTAAAAAATACTGTTTACAAGGGAAAATTATAGATGAACTGATACTGAACAAATGAAATAATGAACTGTCCAGGCACTTTTTTTACGAAGATTCGGTTAATTATTTACACGCAGATAAATATTAAAAATTACTGATGTGCTATAAATATCTAAGTTATGAAGTATATCACCGTTTTATGAACAATACATAAATTAAACGTAACTTCGTGAAAAGCTAAGAGTTGGCCTAATAGGTCTTGTTAGAAACTGGTCAAACTGGATTTCACTTATTTTGCATTACTTATATTTCAGTTTCCCTAATAACTTTACAACGGATTGCCTTGTTTACATAATTAATTTTGCCCTATCTGTTTTAGACCTAAACCTATCAAATGAATTTCAAAACAACATAATATCTATACAAACAAAAAATTATGTTTTCAACTAACGTAATATTGTTGGTGGTGTGAATTTAATTTACAAAATTAATTTTTAGGCGTCAATTTAATTTACCTTATTATGCTGATTCATAATCGGAAACTATTATTATAGAAATCGAGTTAAGAAAGCCACTTTAAAGAACCGCCCACAGAACAGCTTTTATCAGTTTTTTTGTTGCTCCATATTTGCACATAAGTTTATAGACGCATGTCTCAAACGGATGTGACTTTATATGTAGATTGACGTTTATACGTACTTATCGCTTTTCTGTCTATCTTCAAACTTTTTTTGTCACGGCTTTCAAACTCATACTTGACCAGCAATTCCTTATTGTCCAGTCGTTGCAATTAATAATGTAGCTACTACTATTATTACAGATATAAAACTTAGAATAATAAAGTAAAACAAACATGGCTATGATCAATTTATTAGTGTAATGATCATATTAGTTATTATGAAATGAAATGAAAATATCTTTATTCAAGAAGGCTATTACAAGCACTTGGAATGGCAAGTTTATTTTTATTTCTACTTTTTTTGTGAAGGAATCGTACTGTTTTCTTGCGTACATAATATTTTCATTGATGTATTGAGAGGCAACAGTCAAAATATTTATTTCTTTAAATATTTCTCTGAGAGATTCTCTAGATCGTAAATTATATATAGCGTGGACAGCTCTCTTTTGTAGAATAAAAATATCTTGAATGCTAGCCGCAGAACCCCATAACAATAGATTATACGTCATTCATTACACTATGAAAATAACTAAAATATACCAATCTTGCCGTTTCAACATTTGTTAAGAGTCTAATTTTCTTAACAGCAAATGCTGCAGAACTCAGTCTACTTGACAAATTATCAATATACCAAAATACCAAGGAACTTTGTCGATTCCACCATCTCAACTTTTTCACTATTTACAATTTATAAGTATATTAACATGCCTCACATTAGGTAATGCAAACTTTATGTATTTCGTTTTATTTGAATAAAGCTTTAAATAATTACTATCAAACCACTGTAGAAAATTGTCGAACTGAATTACATTGAACTGTTTCATGACAAAATTTAAAGCTCTTATTTTATCAACTAATATGTCACATCACTAATATGCACAATCGGAATGATACCAGTAAGAAAAAAATACAAATTAGGCTTAATGTAATTAATACAAAAATTCTGTTGTTTTCTTAATTTTTGTTTTTTTTACACTTTCCGTCGCTTAATTATATTACTCCACAGACATACGATAGAGTGTATCATTAAGTTTTCTTAGTTTTTGTACTGCGTTTTTTAAAAGATATTTTAATAAATTATGTAGGGAAACGCCTTAATTTTTCAGTATTCACTTGGTTACAGCAAAATCTAATATTAATAGTTCGCACATAAAATGGTGACCCCAATTTTTTTAAATGTGCATAATCTTAAAATATTTTTTTCCTTCTGGTATCCCCATATACAGCCACGTGACAGTTCAACATTCATGTTAAAGTAAATTATTTATTATCACGTTGAATTAGAGTTTGTTTTTAATCGTGTGATTTCTTAGCTTAGTATCTTTTTGGGATTTGATTTATGTTATCGCGAACCTATCGCGTGGCGGTTTTTCATGTAGTGAACAAAATGATCATTTCATCTAATCTGTATTTGTGTGCGGAGAGGCGACACTCGGTTCCCATACTAAATTAATATCATTATACTTCTAATCTCTCTCTATGTTCTGTGGGAAGACCCAAGCATTATATAAGATTTGACAATCCAAAAATTCTTGCGATTGAACAAAAATTCATGCCTAGAATGATACGCGAGGCTATTATATAGATACAGTTAGTGCATTCTGTAAGTATTAAACCAAAGGGAGCAATTCACTTTTCTTGTCGGAGTTTGTTTCGCCAGTTCTTCTCAGATAGGTAAAACTCCCAAATTTGGAACTGGTGGTAGATTACGGTAGCCAGTGGTAAATAAATAAGTCTTATGTATTTTTAAAATATTTAAATTTAATATATGTAAAAGCTTCCGTAATTTTTTTTTTGTATTGTGAATGTGTCCAATAGTATTGTTTTGAAGGTAGCTATAATCGTAATTAAAAAGACAATCAACACCTTAGTCTTATGTGAACACGGAACCTGTAAAGGGTCCGAAACCTCAATAAAATTAAGCACAAACGCGATGAAACCGTTTAAATTTTGTTTCATTTATGGATAGGCGCTTGAAAACATAAGAAATCAATCTTTAGGTTGTTTAATGAAGTTTTTTGTCGTTTGTACCTATATTATTTTTCGTGGCTTTAACATTACAATACTTGCTAGAGTGGAAATGAGTCGAAATGGTAGGCAAGCCAAGGAGACAGATAAGGACAGAGGTGAAGAAGAATCAAAATTAATTGAAAGTAATGAATTTTGTTTAGGCATCTACTTAAGACAAGCTTGGAGAAGCTTTTCTTTAAACTTTTGCTAAGTTGTGAAAAATTATTATTTAACTTGAAATAATATATAAGGAAAAATAAAAATTCAAGGAAAATTACCTATTTGTTTTTGTCTTTTGTTCTGTTTATATTTAAATATATGCTAGGTGTGACCGCTGCATAATATGGCGGAAATATGGTATAATCATGTCAATGGCATAAATAATTTAATTATTTAACGCACCAAGTTTTGAAACTGCGTAAGCTTATTTAAATTAAACATTAAACATAAGAGACGGGATTAAAATCCACAACCTTTTGCAATCCCGGGGACTACTCTTTGCATAAAGAATGCAAAAACCTTTTTTTAAATATAACCAACTTCAAACATAAAAAAATGATAAATTATACTTATCTCAAAAACTACTTATTCAAGAAAATACAATTGAAGTCAAGCGAGCGGAGGTCGAGGCTTCTGTAGGTTATTAATTAGGAGATAAGCGCCAGACTTCAATAGCATTTACTTGAATAAGCTTTTGAGATAAGTATTATTTACATACTTCTAATAACGGGTATTAGACGCGATTTTTAAACTGACCTCCAACGACGTTTCGAAAAAAAAATCGCGTCTAATACTCGTTATTAGAAGTACATATGTAATAAATAATGCAACGCGATAGTTTCTAAGATTATTTATCATTTTTTTAAAGTTTGAAGTCGTTTCTATTTTTTTTTTTTCGAGTTTTTATTTCATGCTTTTTAGTGATATTGATATTTTTTAAATAATAGGTAACACTAAAAATATTAAATATGTATATAAATAAAAATATTCAACAAAGTGAAAGTCTTAGAAAAAAAGATTTTGTTTATTTGCCCGGCATAACTTTTCCAATAATTCTATACTCATATCATAAAAATGAAAGATTCTTTGCAAACAAACAGGATCAAATGCTTGTTTGTTTGCATTGGATATGCTCCGAAACTATTGGACCGGATTATGAAAGTCTTTCATCTATGGGAATCTACTTAATACGCGTTGGGCATACGGTCCATCAAAGGTTTAATGACATCCTTAAACTATAATGAATGTCAAATTTGTATAGGTAATGTCACTTCTTAAACTAATGAAAATTTTAATGGACATTTATGTAACTAGCTGCTAGGCTATAATATACGCAGGTGAGGTCGCAGGGAAATACCTATTTTGATAGAAATTAGTTCACAATTAAAGAAATCCTCATACTCATTGAACATAGAAAATTTATCTCCCGGATTTTGAATGAATTCCAAATAGGTACGCAATCTTTCGTTTAGTAGCTAGAAAGGGCCATGTCTTACCATATCAAGTAAATATTTGGATGATATTCAGTGAAAAGCGTATTTGGTTTTGGTATAAAAGGAAAACTACCGATTCGATTTCGATAAAATTTAAATGGGTCCACCTCGGTCCATTAAGCTGTCTGTCGAATAAAAAAAGAATTTAGAAAATCGGTCAACAATTGGCGGAAATATTGGTGAACATACATAAAAAAAATATATGAATTTTTAGGTTAAAAATTGATTAAGTTCAAAAATAATATGTGTTTATTGTAATATTTCTATTTTATTTTACCTATTTTACTTCCATTTTGTTAGTATTTCGACCTCCGTAGCCGATTGGCTCACACGCTGGTTTCAAGATAAGTTTTCTTTATTTAGATTCCCGATCCGATCAATGTAGAAAACGAACTTATAGATATGGTTATTTCTAAAAATCAGTTTTATAATCGACTGTCAATAAATTGTTTTCAGCATTTATACATTATATAATAAGGTATACTTATAAATTATGAGGCAGAAGGAAATTCGATAATGTTCCTTCTAAGAATTACTCAGTCATTGTATTTGTGTTAGTCATAATACCTAGTACCTAACCTATTCAAATGACGTCAGTGGGAAATTTCTTTGCTGCCCAAACATACACTTAGGATTTCTTCACACAAACATAGGCAACTATCATTTTTGACAGTACGTTAAGAAGACTTTGCAATCGCTATTATGCTATAGTTATCACTGCCGACACTGCATGCCCAGGTGTCGAACCCCAAGTTTTTATACTAAGGACTCATTATATTATAGCTCTTTGGGAATTCCTGGTGCTATTAACGGAAACTGATTTTGAAAGTCGACGTAATCTAAAAGCCTATTTAATAAACGTCGTATACAGATACTCAGGTGAATGTCGCCTACCCGTGTAATTAAATGGTAGTTTCAACCAGTTAATATTATGTAGTCGTTAATAAGGAATAGTATTACAAATAAGTAAAACGTATGACGCGGTATATGACTTGAAATTCGCTCCTACTAGACAAGGCCTACGTGTGCACATATATCAAGGAAAAGAAGCGCACCGACCTTTAGTTTAATTATAGTTTCAAATAGGTTATCGGCCTATGTGCTTAATATAACACAGAATGAAGTTTTCATATGTCGACTTTTATACCTTTAGCTTCAACTAGGACTGGATATCGTCCTATCGTAGCTAATACGATTTCGATCTAAATACATTTTTGAATAAACATATTTAAAGGTCGGCGCATATCTAACGGAAGATACGCCGCCTCTCGTCGGCCATGGAACACGTACACGATACACGATATGAAATTCAACCTTACAAAGTCTACGGATGATCCATCTAGCGGTCCCGCCTGATTCTGTCTAATTCCGTATCAAGCGAGACTGGAAAATGGCGCGGTATTTCGGAATGCTGAGATCTCAATATTGCGGGATTGGAAGCCTTACTGAAAATATGCTTAATTCCTGCAGCAAACCGTTCGTTGTATTGTAAAATATCACCAAATTCAAAGCCAAAAAATGACTGGTTTTGGATCACTTTTGTAATAGTGGAATTCTTTAGGTAGGTAGGAACACTGTAAGACACATTTGATACGAATAATGTGTCACCGATAATAATACATTACTTGCAGACATTTCAGTGTTATCACTATTATACCTACAAACTATTTAAAGTGTATGATACAAGTTGTTATTTTGAGTGTGAAACGCATTAAAACTAATAGAATCTTATACTAATATTTCGTCTTGCCAACGAGACATAATATTCAAATATATACCTAAAGTAACCACGTGTTTTTGAGTAGCAAACTACGAGGAAATAAATAAATCAAATAAAAATATTTTTACTATGCAAAGTAAGTAACTAATCGACCAAAATTTTTTTACTCACAACCTATTCAAAACGTCTTTTAACTGATAAGAAGGAAGAATTTTATCTTTGTATTTGTAAAATTAACTATCTTACCCCGAAAGGATTGGATTTGTCCACCAAAGCGTACGGGACACCGAAGAAGGTCCTATAGTAGCCCGCATCCTGTCCCCTAACTGGGCCTTTGGCTGTATGCACCAGGACCCCGTGACACGCATTCACGAATAAAAACAAAAACACGAGATATACGACCGACATTGTTTAAAGTCGACTGTATAATAACAATTATGAATAAACGTTTGTTGTTTTAAATGTAAGATTTTCCTGTTTATGAAGAAAACAGCCAGGGGCTTATTCTGTACTTCCGAACAAAACACTCTTTTCTAATGTACTTAACCACCTTGGATATAAATAATATTTTAAATTTTTTGCAGTCTGTTTTATTTATTTTTTATTTAAGTATATACTGTATAACAATGACTATAAAAAATCAAAATACGCCATTTTGTTCAAGCACTTCATAACAATAAAAATATAATTTTAAATGGGTGGTAGGTGGTATAAACAACATCCAAATAATTTCTTAGTTGACAGAAAGCTTCTTAATTGTATTGTTATAAAAAAAAAACTGCCAATCCAATATCAATAAAAAATTTATGGGACTACGTTATCTCCTCACATTTAGAATAAAAAAGAATTTTGATAATCGGTCTTCAACGAGGAAGTATTTAAAAAAAGAAAGCACTAAAAAGCACCTCACTAAATGGCGACTCTAGTAAAAGTTATTTTTTGCAGGAAACGCATAGACCAAAGATAGTCATATCCGTTCCTTTTAACTAACATATTAAAAAACTGAAACTCGCAAAGTTCGAAACTTAGATATCAATACATATACGAAATATTACCATTATACCACCATTTTCGCATTTTTTTCTTTATTTGGGTTGGCTTAAAAGTTTGATTTTTTAACAGGTACTGTGCAAGGAACAGTATTTGATATAAAATTTTACTCGTTACCACCACGCTTTCCACAGAAAAAGGGTCTTGACAGACGGACAGATGGACAGATAACAGATGATCCTATAAGGGTTCTGTTTTTTCCTATCGAGGTACGGAACCCTAAAGATCAGCGTCGAACTTAACGTCGAGCATAGCCTTCACCAATCAAATGAAATTTACTTCAAAAAGTAACACTAAAAGTTTTTTGATTCTCCGCTATTTAAACTTCTATCCAGTCACAGCGCTGTCCTCATCGCTTACAGAATAGCAAAGCAATAAATAAAATATTTATGAAATAAATTAAATTTTCAACTAAATAAATTATTAAACTAAGACCAAAGTTAGAACTTCCTTCAAATCATTGGCCGTCTAAATCAAATTGACAATAACAAGAGCAAATATCAAATCGAGACATGTTGAATTATTTTGGTCGGATAATGGTTGTTATCTGGAACTGAACTTAGTCCTAGTTTTCTAATAAGAAGATAGGTAATTGTTTTTTTATATAAAAAAAAAAAATGTATGGATACAATTTTTCACGTAAAGTCTGTCTCATGAAACAAGTCCTGCGGTAGAACTCTTACTCCTTTGTAAAACAAAAAAAGCGTAAAAAATGTGATCCGAGGGATTTATTTCGTGAGACGAACTCTATCAGTAAGTATAACACTTGTTTAAGTAGGTTTTTATTAACTTTGTTGATAAGTACATATTTTTATCATATAAGTAAAATTACATATTCTGTTTGATAGTACATCAAATTTAGCTTTTTACAGCTGAAAACTTAAGTCGTACCTAAATATTGAAATATATAATAATGAAAATTCTAAGCTGCAACTTCAGGTTCAGATCTATATGGCTTACGATATTTTCCATAAATTTGCCAAAAGCCATTCCAGAACTCGATTCTATCTTTATACACGTCCTCCCTCATTTTGAAATCTCTATCGATGTCTAAATATGACCGGGTATTTCGTGACACTTGTTGCCATATTACAGGTAGATTATTTGTTTCTTTTGGCGTAGGAATCCTGAAAATATACAAAAATACGCAAATTTTACTGATCATTGTCAATTTTCATATTGATGAGGAAGTGAAAGAAGAATTAGCAAAAACTATTCATATTCCACTAACTAAACCAAATACTTTTGACATTTAAAGTCAATTATATATATTTGAACAATTTTGCATTCACAATTCCATAAATGTTTACAATGAAAAATGCAAAACAAAAAATCACCAGTCCTAAGCACCCACGCATATTTACGGAAACTTTATTGAATATACCTAAGCTTACAGACAAAGTCTAAATCTTTAACAAAAAAAAACTTTCTCGTTATCTCCAGATGAGTTCGCTATTAGGACAATGCTCTTCAATTTAAGTGAGGAAATTCTATAAGCAAGTTAGTTTTTAAGAAATAAATTGCATCTCCAACACATTTATGATTGTATACTTGAATGGAGAAATAAAAAATGTTACACAATAAAATGATTTGCAACATTAACCAAATATAATGTTTTCAATTCTGACACTATAAATTTTAAAATCTATAATATTAATTCCAACGTACTAAAATCATAGAAGCAAGGAACCATTTTAGCAAGAAATTTAGGATATTTTTGCGTAATATTTACCCGTATTTGACAAAATTAGCCCACATCGTAGTCATTCTGTCTCTCATCAATATATTTTCATCACCAGTCAACTCTTTCATTGTACCCCAATCAAATAAAAATTGTAGTTCTTCAGTATGGTAAGCTCCAACGCCTTCTACATCTTTATAAGGACTGTTTCCAGTATAGGAAAACAAATATTTGTAAATAACAGCACTCTGATTCAGAAATCTAGTGATCGCTCTTTCTTCAGGATAGTTTATCATGAAATCGCTAGTGAAATCCACCAATTCCAACATCGTTTCTTTAGAAATATTTTTATTACCCAAATAAAATGTTTTTACTAATCGAGTGGCCTCTTCTAAACGTTTACCCTTTAACTTGAAATTGTTCCTTATTTTTTCCAAGAAAATATCCCTTGCATAACCATCGTCTGGTAATCTCATGAAATCTGCGAATGTCTCTTTACTATTATAACCTATCATGATATGAGTATCTTTAACTTTTTGAGGAGAGTATAAGGCGATAGATTTTTTTGTAAAGAAATTGCCCCCCTTACGCTGTCTTTTTTCTAGACATGCTCGTAGAAGCATGCCAGAGGAACCGAACGCCTTCATTACTTCAACTGGGTCTTGTTTAGCTAACACATTTACAGCATCTTGCTTCTTAACCTCAGGCTGGAATACTTTAGCAAGTGTATACGCTGCGTTTCTATTCTCTTTAACGATTAAGGCCTCAGCGTCAACACCACCGCTCTGTATTATAGCTTTATCGAAAAGCTTCTCAGTTTCGGAATACAGATGCATTTCCACCGAACCTCCTCCATAACTTTCCCCAGCTATGGTTACTTTATTAGGATCGCCACCGAACGATGCTATATTCTTTTTAACCCATTTCAGAGCAGTCAGTTGGTCTTTCAATCCCTGATTACCTGGTACTTCGTCGGTATTCAAACAAAAGAAGCCATACGGTCCTAGCCTATAGTTTATTGTCACAACAATTATGTCGTGGCGGACCAAATGTTTAGCGTCATATTCACCTCCATTTCCAAATACAAAACCTCCACCGTGGAACCATACGAACACTGGTAATTGTTTATTGATGGTTTTTGGTACAAAGATGTTGAGTCGAAGACACTGAAGTATACCACCTGGTGTGGGCACAGATTGAGGGCATCTAACTGTAGAATCCGTCGCATTGAATGGTGATGCGAAGTCTGGATGTTGAAGGGATTTCTGTAGGATTAAAAAGATAGATTTTACTTTTAAAGCTTAAAATTATGCGATAATGTTCCAATTTTGTGGGGAAACGTCACGAATCAATTGATGATTTTTGAATGAAAACGTTTGAACGTGATATTAAAAGCGTGTAAACAAAAAGTCTATAGGTTCACATCACAGCTAACAAAAGGGACTTTATTTCATAAAAATTCTTCAAATAGTTACGAGTAGAGTAATATAAATTACGTCACAATACAAATTAAATGTAATTTATACTTTCTAGCTTTTTAATGGCGCCCTTTAATAGCGCTTAGGTTATTCCTAAGCGCTATTAAGGGACTGAATACTCCAATATTCACGCGATTTCTAATTGCCTCTCGTGTTTATAATGCATTCTCGCATTCTTATTAATTCTGGTAACGAATCCCTATAAGTTGACGTTACTTAGAATAATTGTAGTTCAACTATTGAAAGTTTGAGGAAAATAGACTTAGAATTGACATAAGTTTAGCGACACATCGATAGATATTACGATGTTACATCCTTGAGATTTATATTTTTTTCTACAGGGTGTGAGCAATAAAACAATTTCTTCGTTCTATCCTAGTTATTTACATAATTGAAATGGATTAATACCAGTCTAGTGTGTATAACAGGATTGCCACCAATGTTCTTCTTTATAGTAGCTTTTTATAAGATTACTAAACAATTCACAACTAGTTTTTTATCTGTAGGTATGAAGAAATAACCTGTTAAGAGAGCTAATTAAGTAATAAATTAATCGGTTACTGAACTTTTGGCGAATACATATCTTTTCTTTCAATATTATTATATGTTTAGTGAGATAAAAAGTAGACTATATGTTAATCCACGCTCAGAAGTATCGGTACACCAAATTTCATCAAAATTTAATAAACATACTAGGTATTGGTATAATTTAGATTTTAGTACACACGACAACAGCAGAACGACTGTTATATACCACCTATAAAAAAACTGTCAATGAATACGTTTATAATTTTAATATTTCTGAATTATATTAAGTATGACTAAATAAAAAAAACGAATTTTAACTATCAAAGCTACTTAAATTAAATAAATTAATAAATTTAGCGAGAGAACTCCCATTATGGCAATCAATGGCACTCCAACAAGAGCCCTTTGCGAAACAGTTCTTGTTATTAAATTCTTAAAGAACCTGATATTCTTAAGGAAATATACTTTAAAAATTCTCTTTTTGATGGTTCTTTCGCTTAAAAAACGCACATTTTTAAGCATGTATCATTAATAATATTTTCCAGTGTAGCACTGTGAATGCAAAATTGATCAAATATAACTTACTGATTTTCAAGAATCATTGATTTGCGAAGAAAATATCATATTGGATATGTTCTTCACAAATAAATCACTTATTATATTGGACTTCGTGTAGATTGGAACTATTGAACAGAATCGAGGTCGTACTCGACAGATTTTTATTTAAATTTGGAACTCTAACACGTCATAGTACAGTCATCGTCATAATCATCCAAGCGCTTAAGGTGATAAAAAGACGCAAAGTGTAGATGAATTTATGTACCTAATTGACGTCTCTTTGGTCACCTTAGGCACTTCAATAATTATGACTTTACTGTACTTATAGCATAAATAACTTTTATTCCACTAGAACGAATTTAGGGACAAATATTTAAAAAAAATATGCGAATAAAGTTACAACCTGTAGTCGGTTATATCCCTACTGATGGGATACCAGTGTGGGTGAAATCTGATCGAAAAAAATGAATCATTACTCACCACGCAGATCCAATCCCGATTGGGGGCTGATATCTACTTTTGAGGCTTACATATGTCATATCATTTTTAAACTAGACATACGTCACTTAAACATCTTTATTACTTACCCCGAAAGGTTTCTTTTCGTCTACCAATGCGTACGGTATACCAAAATAAGTGTTATAATTTCCACGGTCTTGGCCTAATACAGGTCCATTATTTGTTACCACAATATTATCAACACTTAATACATTAACTGCACTTATAGATACCAATAATAAAATCGCGAACATCATTCTTAATCGGCAGACGTACGTCTGGGGAATAACTTGTGTTCGAGCTGCGTGCTTTAATATACAGCTATATTTTCCTGTTATGACTTATTTATGACACAAAAATACAATAGATATCTTTATGATAAAAATTCAGGTTAATTTAATGCTGAAAAATAATATGGTATTGTTTGTTTTGAAGTATTGTATTTAGTCTCACGTAATCTAATTAGGCATACAGACTGATTAAAATCGATGAATTTTTTTTATTATACTTATTAATATATGTATGAGAGTCTGTATACGCTTTAGAAAGACGAGTAGTAGTAATACCGTAGTCATTTTTCTTTAGTTCCTTTAGTTCACTTAATTATGTAATATTGGATATCGGATCGCAATTATTCGTTTTTTGTTTGTCAGGTACCTAAGTAAGTATGTTTGTCAGGTGTTAAATTTACAAATTAAACATGTGCTGTTTTAAACAATTTGTTCAGTAATTGAAACTAATACTTTAACAAAATAACGAATAATTGAACAGACTTGAATACAAATAAAATTACCGTTTAAACCTTCCCTGGACTGTTAACATTTCAAAACCAAAATCATCTAAATCTGCCCAGGCATTCTCGAGCTATAGCAAGACACAGACAAGATCAGCAATTGATTTTTGTATATAAAGAAGATAGAAGAAGAACATAGAAAATAAATATTAAAAATATCGATTAGAAAAGGATAAATGCGTAGCTACTTATGACGTCCTAAGCTACTTCAAGGACAGAAATCAAATGTTTTCTGAATTAACCTTCATTTACCTACTGTTTTAATAATAATAATTTTTTTCCAATTCTAATTAGTAGAGTTATAAAGAAATCTCCTATAAGAATAAATAGTGTATTTAAAATTAAATACGATATCATATAACAATTGTCCTTTTTTTAACAAATAAATTGAAATTTATCGTAAACAACTATTGTTCATCAAGCTTTTGCCAGGCTAAATATTTTCTTTAAAATATTTTAAGACAAAAAGGTATAAGTTATTGGGTAGTCAGTATGTAGTTTTTTGTTATATAACTTTGTGTTTGATTCTTTCGTATAACTATTTATATTTTTCCATGACTCCTACGTAATTCCCACAATTCGTTTTAAAGTCTAAATTAGTGACATATGCGTAGGCCGTGGTAAGATTTTAGATCTCTTGTCTAAATCATGCATTAAACAATAACTAAACAAGAAATAGGATGTCTAATCAAAAAGTTCATATTCTCGAGCCTCGGAAAACATGTTGGTCTAGGCTGCACCTGTAGAGTTCACTCTCTAGCCATGATTCTAGCAATAGGTACGACATCTTAACGATGTTATGTCAATATTTAATTTCATTTTACTACTTTGTCATATACTTTAGTAATGACGAACGAACAATAAAGAATAATGATAATGAATTTGATAGCAGTGTTACCAACTTATTAATTTATTCACCAAAAAACGAAACAAAGTACATAGTAACATGTTACATGTCAAAGTAGTAACATGTTACGAATTATATTCGCTATAGCATAGTTAAGACGTCATATCCTATGGCTAGAAAAAAGGTTTGAGATTTAGGCGGTCGCACTCCTGTAGCTGTTAACATCTACCTTGGGCTCGTTTTAAAACCACCGTGGATTAAACGGCAGAGTAATTCAGTACGTGTACCATGATGGACTCAAAGACGTTTTGTATACACAGATCGGCAGTAAGATATTGTATAGAAACCTGAGAAAAGTGACATCTGGTGTAGGTAGACAAAGCGTTTCTCGTGTTTGTGGACTCGCGTAGTGAATTTATAACCCCTTATCCCTATATTATTTGAAGATCACACTAACATTAACTGATATGGTGTATTTATTTATATGCTACAAACCTCGTTATTTTTTACCTAACCAAAACGATAATATAAAAAAAATTTTGTACTCAGGGCCACACCGTGAAGAAAAGCTATCCAGACTGGGTGCTTGCCATAGCCGTCGTGATGATACTAGCAGGGGTTCTGCCAATACCTGTCGTGTTCCTGCTGCGCCGGTTCCAATGTCTTACTCTCGACGTGGACATCCACCAAGGATCTATTAGAAGAATCGAAACAACTGTATCCACTAAAGAAATGATGAGCGATCAGGATGTAAGTAAAAATGTACATTGTTGCATCTTTGTATAGGCTGTGGTGTAGTCAAGACTCAAATATACAGATGATAAGTGCTATCTTAATACCCTTATAATATAAATATAACGATTTTATTTTCTCGGAACAAAATATGGCGGTATATCTATCAGATACCGATTTTTAAAGTAACCTTTAAAATGTTATAAGGTAGTTATAATATGATGCAAACACGGAATTTTAAATCAATTTTTAGAACGCTGAAATGAAAGTTTAAGCTAATAGACGATACAATTCAGTCCATTATTGATCATTAGTAAATGGTCCATTAGTCTGTTTCTAGGGCAAGTGGGAAAACGGACAATAACACATATAATATTTGCGCATTGAAAATACGTATCCGTATCCATAGAACTCTGTATTGTTTCCGCGGAATACCGCGTTTTGTTAAACGGGACGCTATAGGTCACTGACTCAATCCCATACAACAATAGACAGTACCCCCGCTGTAACGATACATAATTCTATGGATAGCGATACGTATGTTTATTTGAATCGCTCACTAATATTTACTAACTGTTTGTGTCACTGTCCGATGCTTTTCCTTGCCTTTAGGTGCAGGAACAATGTAGTTTCCAGTGTGTTAACTACTTAAATTTTATTCCGAGGCTAACGCTTCCTTGTGCTTGACTGGTCTATATTTGTGTTAAACATTGATGCTAACTTTCTCAAAATCTGCTCTTCCAACTAAGTAGGTATGTTTGTGTAATTCCGATTGTGTGCGCAAACTCTATACTTTTTTATAGAACAGATTTTATTTCACTTTGTCAAATCAGTTTAAAATTCCAAAATCCGAAGATTCTGTTCGATATTAAATCTTAACACATTGAACGTTAAGTCTATAACCAATCGTGGCTATTAAGGGGCTTCTAAACGAGAAATATTTTTCAGCAATTAGTTGCTGCCAGTGGCCAGTCAGGTTGCGCAATATTGTAGTTATAACCACGCCGGCCATATAACCAAACGTTTTTGGTATGGCCAAAAGGTATTGTTTAAAACTTTTCTGGGATGGCCGGACAATAAGTTGCTGATAGTACAGCCATTAATTGCCAAAAAATATTACCCGTTTAGACGCCCCTTTACAAAATGACAATTTAAGTCAAAAGATAAAATAAATTCGACTTTGATAGTGTGCGAATGAGCTCTTATGGTAATAAGAATTATTTTCTACAATTTTATTTATAGAGTGCGCCACAATATCGAGTGTGTATTTTTTATAAAAAATATAATGGGCTAGTTGTAAATAATAAAAATATAGTGACACCACAATGAGTTACACCTGTTATCTTCGCTGACACTAAAAAACAAAATTAAAGTCTCCTTGAAGTATTATTCAGTTTTACTATTATTTTAAGCTAGGGCTATTTGCAAAGAATTAATATGATTAGATAGCTTGCATTTTTAAATTTATATTTTTAAAAGTCATCGAAGGTATAATTGGGTAACTTAAAATGGTAGCGTTGTGTAGTAAATTTGTGCTAAAATAACTATGCTCGGCGCGGGAAACAGGTACTATCGCCGGAGAACGCGCCACCAGCGCCAGCGCAGCTCGTGGCGGAGGCGGCCGGAACTAAGTTCACTATTGGAGACTTCGATGTAAGGCTAGATACACACCGTAGAGCGCGCGCAAAGAGTTGGCTATAGTTTAGCTGCTAAATTATAAAAACATTATTATGAAATAAAATAAACAAACATAGATTAACGGGATAGTTTTAAACCTATAGACAAGCGATTATACTTTTTTGTGATAAATAATAACGACACGCAATTTAATTACTTTATTTATTATATATCTACTCTAGATATTTAAAATGATCATAAATAAAAATGAATCCCTATTTCCCTAGGTCATGCCATCACACGTGAACGGCTGGACTGATTTTGCTAATTCTTTTTTGTCCTGTTTGTTACTGTCCGGAATCCGGTTCTTATGAAAAAAAAAATAAGAAAATTGTATGAAAATTTTGAAAATTTATGAATATTTAACCACCAAATATTTTCTAATCTAACCTTATTGGATTATATAAACTTTTTTAACGTAACCTTATGACGTTTGACATATAATTGTCAGAATGCGTGTTGCAAAATTTCATAATTAAGACAGGACAACATCTGTCGGGTCAGCTAGTTTATGATATGGTCCTGAAATATGAATGCTTAAACTAAAAAGTATTATGTTCAACATAATATGGTGCCAGTTCTGTTGTACCTCTAAACTAAACGAAATTTTATAAACCTAAATCAAATGAAATAACTTAAATATTAGTTAAAATTAGTCTAGTTTGTGCAACAAAATTGCCACCAATGTCTTATATTTATAGAACGTTAGATGTGAAAACTAACTAAAATCATAATATATAACTTTGTTTTTAAATGACATTATTTTATAAAAATGAAGTTCATATAAAATAAATAAATTTTACATTAATAAAAAATATAATTTCTGAATAATTAATTTGATAAAATCAATATTTCATTTAATATGAAAATATTAAGCTAAGTATATCGGTCAACAACTTGCGCGCTAGCTAAAAGCTGAGATTTTATTGCCATGTTTCTTAATCAATTGTCAAGTAAATGTATAAGTATGTTTAATTGAATTAATATTTTGAATAGGTAAAAGCGTAACCTATAAAAATATTACACTTTTGTTTGTCTAGATAACAGGTTAATGCGATGATATATTATTGAACATCATATAACAGGTGTTGATACAGGCGTAACTTAAGTTTACAATATATAAATTTATTTTTTCATAGTTACTATGATAACCCAGGAAATAATATCTGTCACAATAAGAACGTGTCGTATTTGTTAGGTTATATTAA